TTTTGTTAATTTCGTGGTTTTGACAAATTTTCAAGATAATTTGAAGGTTATGCTGAATCTTGCAAAGTTTCTTAAGTCCAATGAGTTATTTCTGAGGTCTCAAAAATTGTTCATTGCTGATAATTGTTCATTGCTTAATTTTTTGTATAAAAATATTCTCAAAAACTTTTATTTAATTAGAAAAAATTTTTACTGTTTATCCAAGCATTTGTCTGATTTTCATAAACAATCAGCATTGCACTCATATTGACATGTTTAAAACAGCGTTTAAAACAGCGTGTTTACTTTTTCCAATGATGCAGAATTAGAAATTTATGACATTTGGTAGCATTTGCACAAATAAACTCATACAGCACCGAAGCTTCCAGTAATATTTTAGAAATGTTGCAACATTGCAAGTTGCAATGTAATATTGCAAAGATGTTTTAGAGACATATAATAACAATATTTTGCCAAAATGTTTTAGCAATGTTTCATTATAGTATGTTTAATTCTAGTATATTATCAGAAATACTTTTGAATAGCTATTAACGAACATATATATAGGGTGTCCGACAATTACTTTAAAATCTCTCCTAGCCAGATAGAAGAAATAAAACTGAGTCGAAAAGTCCTGAACCATTTTTTTCTATTATATATAATAAATAAGTAATTATTGAGTAAATTAAGCTAATCAGCGCCGATCTTTAGCCATTCGCACGTCAGTGAGTCGCGCGGAGCGCTCACGCACACTAGGCGCGTGGTTCACTGACATGCGTTTGGCTAAAGATCGGCGCTGATTGGCTTGATTTATTCAATAATTACTCCTTTATTATATGTAATAGAAGAAAATGGTTCAGAACTTTTCGACTCAGTTTTACTCCTTCTATCTGCCTACGAAAGATGTTAAAGTAATTGTTGAACACCCTGTATATATATATATATACAAAGTGTCCCAGAATTGGTTTAACATCTCTCGTAGGCAGGTAGAAGGAATAAAACTGAGTCGAAAAGTCCTATATCATTTTGCTAGATTCGCAATAGTTACTGAGATTTTAATTAACAAAGATCCGCGAATAAGCATGCATCGGGTTGTCTTACGCGCGTAAGACAGGCCAGTGCGCTTCGCGCGCTAACGGTGTTACCTATAGCGACATATAGGAGGAGCTAATATAACAGCATATACTATAACATATACATATTAAAATGTAATTGTGCAAAGCGCGCCGGGCTGTCCTCTGCGCGTAAGACAGTCTGAT